TGAAGATGTTACCTAGCCGGGTAACAAAACGTTTGCAAGAAAACAACCAAGCTCAGAGAACCCCAAGGACTCCATGAATATATCAGCAAATCCCTCTAGCTCAGAGCTCAGATCAAATTTTAAATCATTGCTGATTAGAGGCAATTGTATGCTCAGGGCTCTTACTATACAGTATTTTCTATTTCCGCTCCATAGGTTGCCAGAAAGAAGGATTATTTGGTGAGTCTACCAAATAAGACACAGGTCTTAGCTTCCGGGTTTTCTGGAGACTGGGGTTATTCAAAAGTGTATAGAGCAGCAGCCATCTTGTCCTGGCTTTGTGAGACACTTTGGCAACTAAAATAAGAAACCAGTATTTAATTTTTCCCATGTTCAGCATCAATATTCCCCAGATCATTCTCTTGTTTATTACCAACCAACATACTCAAGTGAGTATGCGAGGTGCTGAGACTCTCTATGATATGCACTGTATTTCAGCTTATCCCTTCCTGTCAAAGAATTCATCTTAGTGCATTCTGGAGCTTCTTTTTTTCAGGGATTGCGGGTTAAGGTGTTCGTTTTTTTTTTTTAATAGTGTAAAGTTTGGGGGAGAAAGATGATAGATCAATAAAACATCTCTAAAACCTGCACAAGTGTTATAACTCCCTGTCTGAGCAGCTCCACCTTGCTAAGAGATGTTATACCCTCAGGTAAACAAAATTTTGGAGTGACTGTGCAGAAAGTTGCAAATGTCACTCTTTCAGCTGATGTTACAATATGAGTTTGGAGGGCAGGGGTTTGCTGTTGCGCACACAACTGCCTGAACAGATAGCCTTTGGAAAGCCATTCCTGAAATCCAGTGTGCATGCTGGCAGAGAGAGCTAAGAGTCCCAATGAGAAAGTAGTGAACTAAGCTGTTCTAGGGCACTATACACTGATGAAGAAAACTCTAAATAAAAGCTCCAGGCTAGCCTTTCAGGTGTCTGCTAGAAGCCTATTATAGCTTTGTAACAGAAGCAGAGAGCCAGGCTGGAAGAAAGAAGAAAAAATGCCAGCTCAGTCTTCTCCTCCACTTGGAGGTGCAAACAAACTAGCCTTTTCTCTGCTATGGACATCAGTTTCCTGTCTAAGAATCTAGATGTTTTTCCCAAACCATTGACCTTTCCCCCTTTTGTACCAAACCATGGCACAAACATGCCTTGGCAATATCTATCTTCTGCCACATCCCTATGATGTTGCTTCATCTTGTCCCCAGCCCCTGAGTGAGACAACATGCATCATCCTTAGCTGAACTGGTGTTAAAGTTCACACAAAAACTTATTCCAATAATATCCAAGGGTAGACTCAAGGTACATAAAATGTATTAGGCTTCACTGGCCATTATTTTGGAGGGAAGTCAGCAGTGACTGATGACAGGGTACAATCAACAGCATGGACAGCAAATTTCATGCTAGTATACTTTTGTATTGGCTCAAGGGTTGGGGGGTGGGAAGCACTCCAGCTCAGCAGTTTGGAAAGACTGTTTCTCCCCAGAGTTGGAAATGTATATCTTGCCAACCAACCACCCTTTACCAACTTCTGGTATATATCTAGTAACCTGCAATCTTTTATTCTGACTACTGTACAGTTAGTCCTCGAATTATGACTGCAACTGGGACTGGGATTGCTATTGCTAAGTGATGCAGTTGTAAAGCATGACATCACATGACTACAGTTCTGGTAGTTGTTATAACCCAAGATGTGCAGCCGCGCACAAGTTAGGGGAGGGGGTACTCGCTACAGTGTGAACTCAGAAAGGCCAGGGAATGGGGGTGCGGGGTGCATGCAATCACAGGGAGGCCAGGAAAAGAGGGCGCAGGGTGCGTGTGTGTGAGTGCAGAGAAGCCAAGGAAAGAGAGCACAGGGTACATGCAATCACACGGAGGCCGTGGAAAGAGGGCGTGGGGGTGCACGCATGTGTGTGTGCAATTGCAGGGAGGCCAAGGAAAGAGGGCACATGCATGTGAGTGTGCGCAATTGCAGGGAGACTGTAAAAAGAGGGCACGGGGTGTGTGCAACTGAAGGGGGGAAGGAGGGTGAGGTGCACGCGAGCAAAATGGTCGTAACTCAAGGATTTCCTGCACTAGAAATATCTGAAACTGAAACTTCTAATAAAGTATAGGACATAAGTTTAACTTTATAATGGAGGTTAGTGCTTAAGGCCAAACTGTTGATGAAATGGAAATGTTTAGTTATGGGACCCACCTTCAAGAGTTCTCCTTTGAATAAAGACAATCTGCAGTGAGCAGAGCTCCTTCTCCAGAAGTGGAGATCCTGTCTTAACCTGCCCTACATCTTATATATTACCTAACATCCCAACAGGCCTTCTGGCCTGTGATTCAAGTTTACCTGTTTCCAAGGGTTTAGACATAGAGATGTATGGAGGAGTAGCCAGGTCTTTTCCTCTGAGTCTTTTGCAAAGGATGTGGCAGAAGCACACAAGGATGGGATTTGCGTGATAATGATCCAGAAAAAGCATTCCAATCCAAACTGAGAATCCTGCAGTAAAATCATGTTTATTCCCTTTTGGTACGTTAATGCAGTTTCTTGTTCTCGCATCCCACCCATCCAACCCAAAGCTTGAAACCAAAGATCACTTGTTGCCGATGGGTGCAAAATTCAGTCTGTTATGTGAAAATATATGAGGTTCTCCTCTGTAAAGTCCTTCCAAACTCTTACCTGAATCACAGTGTTCATAACCTTTTGGCATTACTGTCCTGTCTATCCGTCCAACCAGCCAGGCTCCTAGAATGATGCTGCGGAACAGTCTCATTAGGCAGGAAGTTAAACCCACGACCACCGAATGGAAGAATAAAAAATAACTGAAGTTGATGAAGACTCTCCTGCAAAACAAGAGGCTACCACTGAGAAGTCTCACGCTCACTGTCCAACTGTGGAGGCAGAAACAGACAAATGTGCTTTTGAACTCAGTTGGGCTGAGAGGTGCTGCGTTAGGATTTGGAGGCAGATACATCCCCAATGAGGCTTTACCAAAATATTTGGGAAAACATCGTAATTCTTACCAGCACTCAGTTGAGGAGGTACAATGAAGACTGCAAATTATAATACTGTATCAAGCCTTTGAGAAGATGGGTAAGGTTTATTTATAAGTCCCACAAATCTTAATTCATTAGATACAGACTGTTGTATCAAGATGTTATGTGAGTGCATATAACAAATTTCAGTAAATCTAAATTAGCCTGGAAATGGCACCGTTGGTGCAATATTAAAAGATTTTTGAGACGAATAAGATAAGAAAAACAGATCAACAGACAGAGTAGGATGAAAAGAAGAAGGGAGGAGAGGAGAATGGGCAATTATATAATTAAATCATTCCTAGTTTTCTTCATGTGATATTCAACATGAAAAAGCATTTGAACCTGTTTTCTCTATATCTTAAAATAGCATAATACACAAAGGATTGGCCCACATTGTTCTTCTGAAACTGTATTTTTACTTAATTTTTTTCCATTGATTTTTTAATCTTTTCCAGCCCAGATGTTCTCACAGTGACTAACAAATGGAGAGATTCTCTTCTACTCTTTTAATTCAGCAGAGGCTGGATTAAATTAGCTTTCCTGAGAGCTTATTTAGAAACAAGGCTTTTATTTGCATAAATATTAAACTTAATCCCATCTCACATTTTCACATTCCTTCTTTTTTTGTATCTTCTTCTGAACATTCATTTAAAAAATGAGGAAAGAAAACCTGCAGAACTACACAGTACCTTCCAAAAGATACTGCTAAGAGATGGTCATCTGGAAGCATCCAGGCCTATCAAATACAATGGAAAAAAACTATATTCAAGGAAAAGGAGTGGGAATATCACTCCCTAGCACTGACCTGTTATCAAGTGCCAAAGGCTTTTGACTGTCACTTGGTGACAGTTTTGGCTGAAGAAAAAACCTGCCAGCTACAATCACCTGCATCTTCTTGATCAGTAGGATGATGACAAATGTCAGGCTGGGAGACAGAAAACAAAGAAAAATCACTGCATTTTATAACCAAGCTAAACATATCCAAAGATACGTAAAGAATATTGGAAGGATTGTGTTTAGCGACCAAACTCTTACTCTGGGATCCAAGAGTCTTATGTTCATCATTACACGTTCCATGGTAACCAATTCTATCCAATTTGCAAATTCAAAAGTATTAAAAAAAGATTAAAGATGAAATCCTATGAACATAGTATAGAACTAAATATGCAGGCAGAGGCTTCTGTATCTGTTGTAATGCTGCATTTCTTCCTATCAAACAGACAAACCGCACTTCAAACAGTGTAACATCTCATGTCTGACTATGAATGTTTCTGCAATCCAAGCAGCAGAACAAGGAATCAACTGTACATGGTTTTTCTAGGATGTGCACATTCCTTCTTTGCAACCCAGCCAATGAGGTGGAGGATGGAGTAACTGCCCGATGCCTCCCAGCCCCATCCAGCCAAATTGTCTTCAACGCTTTGATAATTGTTTGCTCAGCATGGGCTTATTATGTGGACAATGCTCACATTTTCAGCTTGGTAGATTCTGAAAGGCAGGGAGAGCAAACTGTTATTGTGACTGCAGGCACTTACATCACAGTTCCCCATTTGTTAAAAAGTTGCATCCACTGGCTGTGCTTCATGGGCAAAATCAAAACATACATAAGAACCATTCCAAATATCCACTGCACCAAATGCATGATCAGGTATCCTAGGAAAAAAAAAATACAACTGGTCAACAGAAGGGGAGACCTGGAAGCCCCCAATCCCATAAGGGAGGTGTTCACATACCCCACAGTATGTATGCAATCTGGCAAGAGGTGAACTTTGATAGTGCTACCTGTTGGTGCAAAAAGCCAAAGAATACGAGAGCTCAGTTAGGAATTCACAAACATACAAAAAACATGTATTTCCAGGAAACCTAAGGGGTATATTTAACACAAGTGCAGAAACAAATTCTGTCAGTATAATGCCTTAAAAGAATTAGATCAGACTGAGTGGTAGAAACTAGGGTGCTGAACCCCTAAATGAAACTTCTTTCTGCCCGAACATTCTCACCCAAGTAAGATTCCAAATCAGAAGAAATTCCAAAAGAAGAAAAATGACCAGAGAGATTTGGGTGAATGACATCCCAGAGGAAAACTAGTTTTCGTTCTTCTATAGCTCTATAGCTCTTCTATAGACTAGCTTCCTAGACTCACAGTTCCTGCTCAATGAGCAGGTGGCAGCTGTGGCCAGGAAGACTTTTGCCCAGCTTCACTTGGTGTGTCAGTTGTGCCCTTTCCTAGATTGGGGGTCCAGTCACTCATGCCCTGGTCACCTCATGGCTTGTCTACTGCAACGTGCTCTACATGGGGCTGCCCTTGAAGACCCCCTGGAAACTTCAGCTGGCCCAGAATGCAGCGGCATGGGCAGTGATAGGCATGCCTTGGTATGCCCATGTAACACTGCTGCTTTGCAAGCTGCACTGGTTGCCACTTTGCTTCCAGGTGCGATTCAAGGTGCTGGTTGCTACTTATAAAGCCCTACATGGCATAAGACCTGGTTACTTGAGAGACTGCCTGTCTCCCATAGTATCTGCCCAACCAGTTCAATCTGGCAGGGTTGGCATGCTCCATCGATTAAACAATGCTGCCTCTCAAGATGGAGTTGTTGTGATTCTGGGGACTGGACTTCAGGATTTCAGAGATATGACAGAAATTTATGAAGGCATGTTTCCTCTTAAGGATCAGATTCACAACTTAGAGATCCTCCCAGATCTGGAACCAAGCCTAGACAATCATGCAATATTGGTACGATCTGAGGAGAAACCAGAGTTGTATACCTGATTTGCCCCCTTTTGGAGAAAAACTATCTGGCATCAGTGACTGATGGACTGGTAACTTCGAAGTTATAAAGATGGTCTAGAAATTGCAGTTGGTCAAAACTCTGGCAGAGCAGATGGTAAACAGAGCTTTCCAGCAATATCATATCACCTCCATGTCAAAATAGTTGCACTGATTATGAGCTACTCTTTGAACTCATTGCACACTGCTCATTATATGTATGAATGTTGATATTGTTTAGGTTCAAGCTTCTTACAAAACTGGTTGCATCCATTAAAAACACCGGTATTTTGCAGGTCCTGCCAGATATATGGCTAACATTAAGAACTACTTCTGCTTTCTTCCATGCATTGGTGCTTTCAGGGCAGTTATACAGGCTTGACATATTTTCCATAGTTTAATCTAAATAAAAAGTCATTATAATTATTTATGCTCTATTTACCCTTGTAGCCCAAGCTAGTAGTAGAAAACGTTTTTGATACCCAGGACTGAAAACTCACCACACTTTGAGAAGATGACACTTTCATAGATTCTGACAGAAGTAAGTGCTTTCTGCCTGTCCTCAACAGTTTAATATGTTTTCTAGGAGGAAAAGAAATATAAATATAAATATGTACGGGTGTATATATATACATACACAAACATACATATAAAAACAATTCAATAAAACATATTTATATCTATGGAAAAGGAATGAATCAAAAATATAAATGATTTATGTTGAAAGGTTGGAGGATTAATGAAGTATATAAGGGTAATGAGAAGTTCTGAATGTGAAATAGACTGTTATTTGGTAGTACTGGCAGAATTCTGTCCAAAAGGAAACAATGAGCAAAATTTTGGAAGTCGATGTGGTTTTGTGCCAGGCAGAGGATCCTTTTTTCGCTCTTCATTGAAAAATGTATTAATATGAGAAAGAAAATGTATTTTGCATTTGTTAATTAAGAAAAAATATATAATAAAGCAAATAGGCTTGAATTATGGAACATTTTCCATAGAATATGGAGGTGAAGGTTGGTTGTTGAATGAAACTAGAACCACCTCCTGTTTTCATAATGTTCTTCCCCATACCCATCAATATCCACTATTACCCATGCTGATATATATTAGCTTGTTGTAAGTACAGTAGTGGAAAAAACAGTGTGAAAATGATACTATCCATAGCTTTCTACAAAACTGCACAACAGTGTCCAGGCCAATGAGACCATAGACATTTTCAGTCACCTGATCATAACATCAATGTTTCTACAATCCAGAACATATCTGTACCTGTAGCAGGCTAAGATGTGAAATACATATCCGAGGCACGTGCCAGCAGTAATAACAGTAGTAACAATCCAAACTCCTATGAAGCAAGCAACATAATCATAATTCAAAGATGATTCCCTCACACCTTCTCAAAATACTCCTTACCATGGCCTAATGTGTCTTGATAAAATGTCTTGATAAAATACAAAATTACCAAATAGCCCAGAAATATTTTTCAGTCTCTTTTCTCTCCATTTCTCTTTTCTTACATTTGGGCATGGTTAAACTCATTAATTTTTTTAAATCCCTGCATCTTCTTGTTATTCTAAAATGCAACAACGTTTTGTTTTTCATTATTCAGTTATAAATATGGGCTTTATTCATCAATGCTAATGTTCAGGATAGATCTAGATAGCCAACATTCTAAACAATTCTCGCCAGCATGATGTAGTTTGTCAGTTATTGGAGTAGGTCTGGGGAGATTCAAGTCCAAGTCCACATTCAACTGTAGAAACTCACTGTGTCTGTGGACCAATTGTCATCAATCTGTCCAACCTATCTCACATGACTGCACTGTGGGGAATAAGACTGAAGGAAAGAACACTAAATATACTTTAAAAAATGGTAGAATATTAATTTAACAAATATAAATAATGTAAGTGCTATTGTATATGTTTTTATATGTCCTCGTGCAGTAGGAAATCTGGATGGGAAAACTTTAGGAAAGAAATTAATCTTATATTTGGGGGGGTTGTCAATCTCAGACCAGAGCATAGGACTATGAACATATCTATTTTGTTTGTTTCACATTCCTACTTTTCTATTCAAAGAGCCCTCACAGCAGCTGGTATAGGAGAACCCACTACCTTTTTTGACTTAGGAGCAATGATAGTGTAAAGTAGTCTAGATGGCCATCAACTGAAGCTTATGGGGAGGTGGGCCAAGGGAGAATATAATATCTCCTCCTGAGAAGTCAAGGGAACAGAAAGCTGGGTGACAGCCACCTTTCTATTCTACTGAAGGAATGGTAGCCTTCTCCTTTTATCTTGTTCTGTGGCTTTGAGGAGGCAGTCTTAGCACAACCAAGTTGGGTTTCAATAAGGAAGATGATTCTGCACAAAGGAGAAGTTTCTTTTCCTCAGGTTCAAGTTTAGAGACTTCAGGTTCCTAGCCCTGCAGAAAGGACCTTTTCCAGCCTAGCTGCTCCTCCTCCCACTGAGGAAAGAAAGAATGGGTGTACAAGAGCTATTGGGTGCTATTTTCTTCAATCACTGTCAGTTTTTTGTTTAGAGGTTTATCCCTCTCTTTTTCAATACAAAGGTACACTATGCAACTCACAGAAAAGTAATGCTATATTCACAGAATATTTTGCCTCTACCTTCTACAACATTAATAAACTCTTCAATGTTTTGGATCCATGAATCTGTAGCTTCTGAAACTGAAGGTCTGAAGATGGTCCACAACTGTCTGAGTGGTTTTAAAATTAGGATCTTGGTCATAAGAAATTCAGTCACAATAAACTGGAGGAGAAATGAAAGATAATGCTGGATAAAATGTCTGAAGGGAAAATTACAGGATAATATAAGATTGTAAAAGACACCTCTAGAAATACAAACTTCTAGAGATTCCCATTAGGTCAGAATGCATCTGCAATTGACCTGTAGACCCTCACACCTACAGTCATTTAAGGCAGGGGAGACTGGTTGGCTAAATCCCTCAACAGCAATAACTCCCTTCCGTTGAGGTTAAATAGCAAGGGAGGAACTTGCTGGAGACTTTTTGTACTTTTGATTTTCCCAGTGGCACAGGCTGGCTATGGGCAAGGAAGGAAATAGATCTACGCTCCCCTCCACCCCAAATTTTCCAGACTACAGGAAGGGATCTAGCCCACTCAGACTTCTAAATATAATGAGTAACTTGACGGAATGTAATTAGTCTTGCTAGGCAAGACTAGCAAGGCAAAGCATGCAAAGACTCAAGGCAAAGCATGCAAAGCTAGCTTCTTCTCTGAGTGGGTCTTAGATGGACTTTTCTAGTGCTCCTTTATTCACACTTCCTTTCTTGGGGCCTAATCATTTTCTTCAACCTTAATGTTCATTTTTATTTGCTGTTAACAAACTCTAAACACTAGTTTATAAAGATATTTTTGGTGCCAATTTATGGGATACATCTCATGAGACCTAGGCCTCTCCAGATAGACCAGTGTTTCTTAACCTTGGCAGCTTTAACATGTGTGGACTTCAGCTCCCAGAATTCCCTAGCCAGCATGCTGGCTGGGGAATTCTGGGAGTTGAAGTCCATGCATCTTAAAGTCGCCAAGGTTGAGAAGCACTGAGATAGACTATTAGATACAGGCCCAATATGCCCTTTGGTCCACTATTAGAAGAAAGGGGAAGGGATTTTCTTTGCTTTGGCCTTGTTCCTACATCCCTGACTGAAGAGAGGAAAAGATGTGGCAACAGAGAGTAACTGAGGATAATTTGCTGCATCATCCCAGACTGTCCTGGTTGTGTGGGCAGGCAGAACCTTTTTATTGTTTCTATGCTACTTAAAGTACAGTAAAATAACTTGGCTTGGCTGTGTTCACATATCTTATTAATCCACAATGTATTTCTCTTATTTGTGTCTTAACTGTTATATAAAGCCAGCCAATTATAATGATCGAATACAAGAACTATGGTTATTCAGCAAAGCACGTTTAAAACAAACATTACTTGGCATGATGGGTGAACTTAGTCTGAGACAAAGGAGTACTGCACAATTACCACAATCCTAGGTTAATGCTATATGAGAATTTGGTCAGAGATTGATTTCTAATTGATATTTCCTTTAAGAAATAATGCTGTTCCATTTTTAGGAGTTAATCCTCCTGCCTTCAAAAATATTCTGCATGTATAGAGGCTATTTTAAAGCCTACTTGGTGAGTGAGGATTAAATTGCAAGCCAATGTGGCTCAAATACATGTTGCAAAGAGCACATGAAGGTGTTGAGGCTCTGGCCCCATCTGCTGCTGATACGCAGCGCCCACTGCACTTGCCCAGAATCAGTTAAGCCCTTGAGTCAATATAGACACAAGTAATATGAGTAAAAACATATAGCTTCACTTGAGAAGAAGAGGAGGGACAATTGCAGAAATGGTATTCTGGTATGCCTACATTATTAGCAACTTGGGATAAATTAAATATTAGAATGCACTACACCTTAGCTTCAATAATCAACACCTGTTCTTTGGACTACAAATAAAGCTGGTCCCCAGAATGCTTTCAGTTCAAAGGTGATTTGATCAGACCAGAAGCAGCTGTAGTTTCCTTGCTGAAAGCTTCATGTGTGAGCTTGGCTTACCATGTAAAGACACATGATAATAATGATAACTGTGCTGATTATTCTGCTGGGGAATTTAAAGTAGGGATCCCATTGGTATAACTTTCTCTGAATCCAGTTTTTCTGGGGCTGCCTGTTGGTAGATAAAAATATAGGTGAGTTAAGTAACAAAAAGGAAAAAAATCAGGAAATTCTCCAAAGCTGCTTTGAGTGTGATAAAAGAAGGCTATCTCCCTTCTTTCTCAGAATTTTAAACTCTCCTCCCTGTTTTGCCTTCTTCTATGAATGGAACGCTTATTGTGAGGGCCTTTCTCCCTCTGTATGGCTGAATTAAAGGTGATGAGAATTTATGAATGGCAGAACCAAGAACAAAAACAATGAACATGATATATCTGACCAACGTGCACTATCTTTTCCCAACCTACTTTTGCACAGTATCTTCAGAACAACATTGGCTCATCATCCACAAGCAGTGGTAATTTCATCCATTTTTTCCAAAGGACTTGCCCTTTGTTGCAGCAAAAACAAGAATCCTTAAACAGTCTTTCCTCATAATTTTCAGCAGCATCTGTATGGTCTGGCAACCTAATTTTACCTCTGCTCCCATGACACTGTCTCATGACTGCAGTAGTCTTATTCCACTACTTTGCATTCTGCCAAAGACTTAATTTTTCTCCTTTTAAGTTGCTTCAGAGTTATGATATTTAAACTCACACATTAAATGGGGAGAAGTGCCTATAGCTTAGAGGAGAAGAGGAAAAAATACATGCTGTTGACTATGCTTTAATACAGGTAATCCTCGCTTACCAACCATTTGTTCAGCAACTGTTCGAAGTTACAATGGTGTTGAATCAGTTATACTTACAACTGGTCCTCAACGTTCTAGCCGTCCTAGCACCCCCACAGTCACATGATCGTGATCTGGGTGCTTAGCAAGTACCTTGCACTTACGAGAGTTTACAGTGTCCCATGGTCACATGATTGCCATTTGCAACCTTCCCTGCTGGCTTCCCACAAGCAAAGTCAATGGAAAAGCTGGCAGGGAAGGTCGCAAGTCACTCTGCTAAGTCACTTGCATCCTCCCCTGCCCAGCAGCGGCAACTCCTGGCCCTGCCACACTCATGTTGTGCCACACCTCATGGGCCACTTGCATACACTCCCCCACCTGGCAACAGTCACCCCAGTCCCACTGCACTCATGCCACACCTTATGTGCCTACCAACCTGCTTGTGATGTGCCTGGGACTTGCTTAATGACCCACGATCCTTGCTTAACGATGGCAATGGGGAGAGCTGGGATTGCTGTCACTAAACGATGCAGTCATGTGATACTGCACTTTACAACCACATCACTTAGTGATGGAAATTCCGGTCCCAATTACCATCGTTAACTGAGGACTACCTGTAAACAGCATTCTCAAAATGCTTCTGTCTTCACCAGAATGTCACCAAGAACCAAAGCATCAGGACATGTCACTGTGCCAGCAAGATACTATACTAATACAATAAGGACTGGGTTTTGCTGAGGATCCCAAGGGGTGAAAGGTTCAAAGGTTAACATGTTTATTCTAGGATAAGCTTTTCAGCAGTACAGTCCATATCTTCAAAGGCATCTGATCGTTGTACTCAATCAAACCTTAAACCAGAATAAACCCTTGGGGAGCCACGAGACTCCAGGCTCTTTTCAGCTAAATCTTACTGTTATATGGAATATGAGCCTAGCCATTCTCTTGTTGACAGAAGGAGCTCACTCACCTTAGTATTAGCCTTGTACCTGACATTGGGAAAAAGAAAAAGAATTATCAGAATATGTTAAAGAAAAAATGCGTCCAAGGACAAAATGATCCTCACCCAAGCAGAGGCTTTCTCAGTAGATGCTGGACATACTGTGACTGATGTTCTTCCAGAAAAGCATCTTTCTCCTGCATTGCAAAGAAAGCACAGTTGCACCTGATCCCAGAAATTACAAATGCAGTGTGTGTGTATTTCTAGGGATTTAAAAAACGAACTGAACACATAACCCAGGTTTATTTCTGCTACTGCATATAACTGACAGGGAGCATGGGTAGACCATTGCAAATAATGCAATGTGCCTGGCTGAATTCTTATTCATAGCACATCAAGTGTCTTAACACATTCTCAGTCTTGAGACTCGGGAAAGTGTCATGGAAGAAGACTTTAACGTAATAGAAGCCAAGATGGCAGCAGTGGAAATCAAAAACACAATACAGGCATACCTTGTTTTATTGCACTTTGCTTTATTGTGCTTCACAGATGTTGCATTTATCAAACAGCATCACATACTACAAAGAAATCTTTTGTGAAAGAGTCACTCGATGCAGCAAACTTCATTGTTGTCTTATTTTAATATTTTTTTAATTAAAGTATGTACATTTTTTTAGACATAATGCTCTTGCACACTTAATAGACTACAGTATAGTGTAAACATAACTTTTATCTACACTGGAAAACCAAAAAAATTGTGTGATTCACTTTATTGCGATGTTCACTTTACTGCAGTAGTCTGGAACTGAACCTGCAATATCTCTGAGGTATGCCTGTAAGTGAAGATCTTTTTAATAACCCACAAGCTTTGTGGGTGTGATTATATCTCTAGTAAAAACATTAGAATGGATAATACTTAGGCCAGATTATAATTGTGGGAGGCCTTGCAATAATTGATGTCCCATCTTTTCTGCTGCTGCACAATGTTTTGCCACCATCTGTGCTATGGAAGGTTCAACATCCAAAAAGAATAAAGTCATATAAAACTTGTCTGTCTGCCAGGGTATTGTTGAAAGAAAGCAGAATGTGGATGTTTTGGATATCCCTGTAAACACCACAGTATAATAACATGTACTGGCCTGTTTCAATATCTCCTGTTGCATAAAAGCAGAGACATTTCTCCAATGTTCCTTGTAGAAATGCCAAAGGGAAGTTATTATACCTAGCCCAGAATAAAGCTTTCCTTAGTTTGGGAAATGTCGAGACGTAATTAGTCATTTCACAGGAACCTTTCGTTAACCAGGTCTCCATTCAACTACTCATTGTTGAATGAGTAGTTGTTAAGCAAGGACTACTTGTAAATACTATCAAAATTCAGATGGAGATACTGTAAATAAATATATTCGAGGTTATGGCAGCGCTGAACGAATGGAACTTATGAATGGTCCTCATAGTTGCAGCCACTGCAGCATCCCCACAGTCACACGATCATGATTCAGGTGCTTGGTGACCGGCTCTCAATTATGACATTGCGGGGTTACGCAATCACCGTTTGTGACCTTCACTGCCAGCTTCCGACAGTAAAGTCAATGGAGAAACTGGCAGGAGGTTGCAAATGGCAAATTTTCAGTCCCAATTACCATCGTTAAGTGAGGACTACCTGTAGTCTCTGTAGAAGTGTACGTTTGGCATGCTCGTACCCCAAGAATCTAATGTACTCTGCCAATAACCCCTTTGTCTTCAGTGTTTGTTTGATGAGATTGTTCCAGCTTAGGAGGAAGTCATCAGCCATTATTAATGGGAGTAGCCCCAAGGGGAAGAACTGGAGTTTTAACCAGTAATTTAGCATTTATCTCAATGGCCTAATTTCAATTTTGGGCATCCCAGTTTCCAACCTAAGGAGGGCATTGGCAATCCTTCTGAGCACAGCAAGTAGAGTCCTCAATAATTTAGTTTGGTCTACCTCAAGATTGTTTCTCTTGGCATAGAGCCCCACCTGGGCACCATACAACACAACCAAGTATTATGGCTTAGAACAATTTCAAAGTAGCTAAAATTAGTTCATCTCTGCTACCTGAGGAATTAGGTGAGGGATTTCCCAAAAAGAGAGGGATCAGTTTCAGAAAAACAGATTATTATGATCAGCTGAGCAAGCAACACTCTCAAGAGAGAAATGTGCATGGATCCAGTTAACCACAAGGCTATTATAGAATTTCCTTGCACATGCTTGTTACAGAATACACCTATTAGATTAACACAAGCATTATTCCTTTAATTGGTATTTTTCTAGATATTTCCTTATTCCTATGGTTTGCATACCTACAATGATGTTTGCTACGTAAGCACGGCATACAAAAGCATATTGGTTAGAGATAATTAACGCATAATTTATTATAAGATTGAGACGTGTTTTATACTTTAGCTGTACAATGGCAAAACTTTCTACCTGCTTCTAGCTGCTTGCTATTGAAGCCATATGCTCTTGAAACTTAACCACAACACTTAATAGTTTGCTTTAAAACTGTTCCATTATGATTAATGTTGATCCTTAACTGCTACATGATTACTAATCAATAACTTATAATATGAAGCTTATAATATTGAAAAGAGCTTATTGATACAGACAAGAGTTTATTAATCTCAGGGTCAATTTTTTCTGCTTCACCTCCTTTAGTAAAGAACGGTTTGATGGCTTTGCAGAACTTAAAGCCACCTGGGAGATGTAATCACGATGGGACCCCCAATTTTCCTTAGGGTGGATTATATTATCTATAGGGCTGGGAAAACTGACAAGAATTGGGCAGTATGGTTAAGTCTTGGAAGATGTGATGATACCTGACTCTGGAAGTCAGTTATTAAGTCTTCCAAACATGTTGAACTTTTTAACCAATTTTGGAATGTTACCATTTTCATCCTTAAAATCCTGATTTTAAGCAGAGGGATTTTTTAGTTATTGCAATTTTCCCACAGATTATATGCCACACAATTTTACTTCTCCAGGCAGTTAATGAACCTAAATCATAACACAATAAAGCCAGAAAACCATATAATAACATTCATTAAAAACAATGACGATAACAGACAAAGACATGGCAAGTGAAGCACAAGCCTTAATCTCCAAAGTCTTGTTGGAACAACCATTTTTGACTGCTTTTAAATGACCAAAATAATAGGCAAGAAAGGGATATGACTGCCAGACATGTTTTTGTTTCTAAAATCAGTGAGTTTGATTAATGTTCAGCTTATTTCACTATTCTTTTTCTAGATTTGTCATTGATATTCAATTTCATTCATGTCATTGGAGTACAACATCAAATAACCCAAATAAAGTTGTTAAAAGAGAAGACTTCGGTGCTGATACAAATACTCACGGTTACGTTGTATCTGGATTCAATTCTCACTGCTTTCACAAACATAAAAAGAAATCGTCCTAGCAGAAAAAAATGGCACAGCAAGGATGGCCACATCAGGATTGTGTTACTGTATTCTCCCACAATCTATGCATGGAAAACAGAATTATCAACAAAGTTGCACCTGACCCACTCTTCTTCCTTCCCTGTGCAAATTCCACTTAATTTATGCAGTAAATTAATTGCAGTGAATGCTTAGGCTTGTCATGAGGCTCTTCCCAGAAATCTTGGGTCTTTAGGGGAGGGACACAGTTCAGTGGCAAAGATCTAGTTTGTTCTTATCTGGGGGAAAGATCCTGCCAATCAGAATAGATAATATCAAGCTAGCAGACCAATGATCTGTCCTTACAGAAAATCAGCTATGGAGAACAAAGTCATATGCCGGAAAGGTACAGGTCAGTTTTGTCACATCTGGAGTCCTCAAGATCTGTTAGATTAAAACTCCCATCTCTTTCAGCCAGCATAAGAGTAACCATGCTACTGGTGGATGCTGGAAGTTGTAATCCAACTCATATATAGGTTCAGTGTTGGGGAAGGCAAGTATAGGCACATGCATAGCTGTACACATTTCAGCTGTATGCAGTGGCCACTAATACTACACTACTGGCCATTGAGGGACATGGCCAATGGTTGTTTGGTATCAGGAAGTGAGCCAGCATTTGTGAACCCTTTCATTCTCTGAGTCCTGCCAAAAACTCACCTGCAGTGCTAGATTTCTTTGGATTAGATTAGATTTATTGCCTTTCTAAGTATATTGAATCCATGTACTTTTTGTCTGAGCACTTGCTCCTCATACATATAAAACGCAATAGATTTTGCATAGGCCTCAACCTTAAACTTACATCACATCTTTTCTGCATGGTGCTCAAAACTCATAGGGGATTCTCCTCCAGCAACTAACCAGACCTGTTACACTTTAGTAAAATTGATGCACTGTGTACCTTTTTTCAAATTCAAATATCTTTATTACGGTCTTTGACCAGCCTTTGTAAGAATAAACAACACAACAATTTGTTATCGGGGAGGAGGAAAACAATAAAACAGTAAAACAACATAACTAATTAAAAGTTTTACACAGTTGTATAACAGAATAAAGATATTTGGCCACCTGGTAGATAAGTGTCAAGTCAGCATCCCTTAAAAAGTAATAAACATAAAATTTATCAGTATGGCCCTCAAATTTAGAGATGAATAGAGAGATCAGAGCATGTTTTGGGGCATCATAAAAAGGACACCATAAAAGGACATGAGCAAGAGTTTCTAGCTCCCTGGATCCACAAGGGCAAATTCTGTCAAGTCAGCATCCCTTAAAAAGTAATAAACATAAAATTTATCAGTATGGCCCTCAAATTTAGAGATGAATAGAGAGATCAGAGCATGTTTTGGGGCATCATAAAAAGGACACCATAAAAGGACATGAGCAAGAGTTTCTAGCTCCCTGGATCCACAAGGGCAAATTCTCTGTAAATAAGGAGTCCCATGAAATCTTCCTGCCAGCAGTGCTGAAGGGAGGGCATCAAAGCAGGCTCTGGAAAAGGCCTATCTATATTTGCTTAGGGTTAGATTGTACAGATACTCCACAGTAGAGGGTTTGCAGCTATATAACAATTGGCAGTAGCGTTCAGGAGCACTGGTGATATCATTTTGGCAATCAATGTCCCTAATTCTTTCTTTTGCTATTGATTTGGCCTTTTCCAGGATTAATTGGCCTAAATATTCTGGAGAGAGGTCAAGGCTGCAAAGTTCTTCTATACAAGTATGGTGCCAATGAGATTGGTAGCCGTCTGGCATCAGGCCAGTAGCGTCAAACATGATTCTGAGACCTGAGACTAGAATCCTGGTCCAGGCCTGGGCCTTAAGGCTTGGCACATTAGCTTCAAGCCTCAAGACTACATTAGGGGTGCAGTTTGGGGTACTGAGTAGAGTCCTAAGAAAATTCAACTGAATTGCTTCATAAGCCCTTAAGTTTGTATCTGGGCCAAGTTGTATCCCATATAATAGTTGGGCAAGCCATAAACAGCTTGATTGCTACTGGAATGTAATTTGCATCCTGTTGCCTATAAAATTTGGTTATTGTTTGTGTGCTCTTTTGCGCAGTGGAAGTGGCATAATTTACCTAGGCTGTTAATTTCCTAGTGGCCTGAAATAATATGCCCAGGTATTTAAAACATTTGACCTGCTCTAATTCATGGGAATCAATGGTCCACTTGATGCACTGTGTAACTTAAGTGAGCCCACGACAGCCATATTTAAACAATAATAATTGTCATAAATAAGTACTTACATCTCCCTCAGGGCATTCTATAATGTCAAGGATCATGACAACTGACCTGTAAAATACACGGAGTTACTAGTTTCCTAAATCACTAGTAGAGGCTATAGAATAGATATATTCATATTTTAGTTAAGCCAAACTTCTGGTGCACCATCCTCAAACTAGATTCAACATCAGCATCTCTCCCACCTATATGTTACACTGTTTCCTTAATTTCTACATTATTGGCGGTACTGACTGGAAGATTTTGGGAACTAACAATAAATACATTTGGAAAGTTCTGTTTGGAAAAGGATATTCTTGCATGAAAGCAGATCTCCATTGGCAATGGTAAAGTTCTAAAATTAAAGGCAATCCGTACCCATTCTTCAGTGGTTGCTTTCCAGTGTGACTTTCATCTCTTAATCCCCACCGCTATTAGATCTCTCTACCTTTTCAGCAATGTACAAAACAGGGAGATGTTGAAATAGCTATCATAGTTTACTGCTTTGATTTCCCCCGTGTTCTCAGAAAGCTTTTTTCTTAATACATCCACTCTATATGCTAATTTTTTTACTGATATCAGGATATTTGTATTATAATTAATATGTTTTGTTAATGATCATTACAATTATCTTGATTATTGTCAGTATCTGTTCACTATGAATTTCATTTCCCTCTGACTTCATTTCCTTTACCCACATTCCACACACAGGAGCACGTACAAATTCACACCATGCAGATATATATCTATAAACCTAGACTTGGGGCACTTCCACACAACACCACATTCACTACCCACCCCAATTTTCAGTCCTCTGAACCTCACAACACCAGGGATACCCTCCAGCTAAACAACAGGAGAATGCAAATCATCAGTGCATGCCCCCGTGCCTTAACAACTCTTGGCAGTATGTGAAATCACCTCACACACACCCCACACACACACTTCAATACACACACTGTGCACTTCTCTGACCAATTTTCAAAACAAATAAGCTACTAGGACAAAGGGAAAGTGCCTTGATTACCAAGATGTCATTCTTCCTGCATATAAGTTCACACTGAAAGTTGTGATAGTGACATAACAGCATAATTCTGCAGCCAGCTCTTCTCCCAAAAGCTGCAACCATCATTGTAGGTGTAGAAAGTGTGACTATGTGTTTGCTGTCAGAGACAGAGTACCAATAAAGGCTTGCTTGAGCCCAGAGATTGGAAGGTGCTTACAATATATGAGCAAGAAAACTCAAGCAAGGCAGTTACGAAGGACTGGGAAACTGATTAGAGAGTTCTAAATTCAGACTGCAGGAGATGGGGTAAGACAAGAGTTTCCATGAATAGGAAAAGAGCTCACACCATTTGAACTACACCATAGCCAAGCCAGAAGAAAATGGATGTGACGGCCCAAGGAGGACCTAACATCAATATAGGACTCGTCCCATGTATTTTGTGCATTAGAAGTATAAGATACTAGTCCACCATACTTGTGCCACAATAAATGTATCAGTCTTTAAGATGCCATTCAACTATTGGTTTTGCCTCGACAATGTCCCATTGCCTTCATTCTGTTTAACTAGCTGTTTTTAAGTAGCAGCAAGTTGCTTATTTGGCCATATCTATATTTTCTTCTCTTCTCTTTTTTCTTTCCTTTCTCTCTCTCCCCCTCCCTTTTCCTTTCTGAGCTAGAATGACTTGCCCAAAGTCACCCCACTGGCTTCATGCCTAAGTAGGACTAGAACTCAGAGTTTCCCAGTTTCTAGCCCAATGCCTTTATTCACTACATCAAACTGGCTCTCCTTTTCTTGTTTTATTGTAAGTATATATTGTTACTATCAGAATAAATTAAGTGTTGATGGTTTTGCCCTCAAATTTAAGGTTGATTTAATATGTGATGATTCCTCATCTTCAAGAGCAAAGAGAAAGCAAAGGGTAAGTTGGACTACCAGGAACCTTAGATCTCCTAAGCAGTTATCTCACACCATCCCTGGTCATGAACGTTTAGTTCATAAGCTGAATGGTTTTTGCCCTTTCCTGAGCCTCCAGAACAGGGTGGTCTGATTCTCAGGTTTCAGGGCAGGGAAGGCAAAATGTAGATTGGTATTGACAGTACCAAAAATAGATTATCAAGGATTTTAGTTTGATAGCCATCAGGAACATCAGAACAGCTCTTCTGTCTATTCCAAGTTATTCTGCCGAGATAAAAAAGCTTGTGTGTATTCTGGAGTGGACCTTTGGGTGTGTAATAACTCTGAACTCAGAACTCTGAAACTCAAATCAAATCCTGAGACTCATAATTGTTTACTTCAAGGTTTTCTTCCTCCCCTGATTTGTAAATTTTGGAAATCAAGATATTGGATTTTTAAAAAACTATTAAAACTTTGTTTTAATATCTCTGCTTCACCATTTATTATGGTCTTATTTCTGGAAGTTATGATCTGGAAGAATATCCACAGTTCTACCCTCCTGAGAAGTCAGAGAGATTTCTAGTTAATATTTTTAGTATGAAATCACTTTATTGTAATTTCTCCTTGTGTTATTTCATTAATTGACTCCCACCTCTGCTATGTGTCACTCAGGCCAGAATCTCTTACTAATATTCTGCTTACCAAGACGCTGTGTAAAAAAATCCTAAGATTGCTCCTACAATTTCATGTTTTGTTGAAAGGCAGGCAAAGAAAGGGTATGATGAGATGCCCACTTCAAGAGCCATGAGGAGGATCCAAAATACTGCAGAAGAAAGCACATAAATATATTTTTATTCTGTTCTCCAGCAGTGAATAAGTGGGAAATTCTTTATGACAGCCATTGAATAACCAATATGGAATAGCAAAGCACATGGAGTAGACAATAGAGTACAGTAATAAGACAACACATACTCTGACATTAGCTGTTTAACCTTTGCTGAATTTTACAGACTACAAAACAATTTTTGCAACATTCAGGGAAACGGATTTTTGTCTGAAAATAAATAATTCAAATTAAAAAAATCTCAGTGCACTTTGAGAACTTTGTAATAATAGTGTTATGAGGTAAAAGTGGACATCTTGGCAAAATTGAGAAAATAAAAGCCATAGGCTATGGTTTCAATGGTTCCAGCATCTCAAGAATAAATTCTAGCCACTTAAGGAATGTTCCTAAATTTCTTCCCTTTGAGCACTATGAGGGGAGCATTAAAGCAAGATAGGGATAAGGCTCTTGTGAATTTTGGAAAGGTAAATTGATATAAATATTGGGCTGGTCTTAGGTATATAGATCGATGATTTGCATAAACATCTCCAGGCAGGGAGGCCTGTTACATTTGCCTTTCTTTGCTAATATCCGTCATCTCTTACTTGGCATCCTCCAATCTCAACCTCAAGAGCACATCACTAGAGAAGCCAGAGCTGTGCCATTTCTGATAGAGTGACCTTTTCCAATTTGAACTGAAGTTGACAATTAATATCAAGGAGACCAGATTTACCTTAACCAATAAGTAAACATGTTGTAAAAGGATAACCTGAACCAATAAGAAAACATGTTTAACCAGAGACTGTTCTCCACCTTAATAATGCCAGCTTTCTGAAGGAGTGCCATATTTGGCACACAACCAACAACTTGGAAAATATTACATTTAAATCTGGATTACATGCTATCTAAAATGGCCATGTTAGTTATGTGGTCCCAACTGGACATGAGCTTTAGCTGCAAATAATTTTAGTGTTGCAGGTATAAACCATGCACTTCTCATGAAATGAAAGGATTTTAAGGCTGAGGTAAGGTATTTACGGCTGATCTTAAGGTATTTTGAATTACATAATCCAAATGAGCACGACATTTCCGTTGTTTGAAAAAACACTCTTAAATATCTAGAAGTTTTAACTTGTTCTATTACATGGCCATCTAGCTGACATGTTTCACATTTTGAGAACATTTAAAAAATGGAAGAAATTGTCTAGAGAGCTCTAAATAATTGAATATTTCTCATTTTGTGTGTCTCCTTTTTTTTTTTTTTATAACCTCTTGAATTTTTGGATATTTCTCAAATTTTCCTTTCTCCTTTTTTTTAATAACCCCTTGCCCCATGTAGCACTCTGGAGTACTTGAAAATTTGCACACTGTTTTGTGATATTTTGGATGGTCCTCATAAACTTACCAGCCACCTATGGAGTGATCATGAAAGCTTTGTTGATGATGATCTGGTAACATGAGTGGATAATATATTGCACGATGGGTTGGTACTCATAAGCATATACAATGGACAAGTAGTACCTAGATTCATACAATACACCAAACCATAATATGGTTTAGCTATGGCTTGAGATGATGCATAAATCCAGCCATGATACCTACAAGCCACAGTTTAACATTGTACGTGAACTGGTTCAATAGGCTTCTTCAGGAAAGCATGGTTAAAAACATTGTCTTAACATTGTGTGCGAGTACTGTTCTCAGCCCCATGTGTACCTGAAAGTGCTAATACATGGGCAGAGGCATCTTCTGCAGAGAAGTACATCTTCCCTCTCTTACCTCCTGCAAATTCCCTGATCATTTTTAAAGGGTCCTAATATATGTGGACTGTTGGAGAAGACTCCTGAGAAAACAAACAAATGGATCAGTGAACAAATTAATCCAGAGTTCTCACTCAAGGCGCAAATGACCAGGCTCAAATTATCCTACTTCAGACACATCATGCAAAGACCTAGCTCCTTAGAGAAGGCCTTAATGCTGGAGAAGGTGGAAGGAAAGAGAGGATGAGGACAACCAGCGGCAAGGTGGATGAACTGAGTTACAGTGGTGATGTGCACAGTTGAAAGACCTGAAAGACTAAGTTAGGGACAGATTGTCATGGGGAAAATGTACCTATGTGGCCACTAGGAGTCAAAAACGACTTGATGGCACATAATCTATCAATCCGTTTATCTATATGGACGTGACCAGATAGTCGCCATGGATCATATTTAATTCAAGGGAGTCTTTTCTACTTTTTTACTATCATTATCTTCTATTAGGCTCTAAAACTGAAAGTCAGCTGAGATTAAACATTGTTTTAGAAGGAGGAATTTGCAGGAGGAAAGTTAAGGAAGAGAAGTTAAGGACTCTTCCCACTATCTGTTGATACTTCATCATGAACCCTCTAACCCACCCCAATTATAAGTCATTTACTTATAGCTATGGCTTGACATGATAAAGATGTCAGGACCTTATCTTCAGTCCCAAGTAAGAATGCATACTCCCAGAAACAAATACCTAATTTCATGTTACAAGGAGGGGGGCTTTAAATGGCTCTGTACTTATACTGGGAAGGACTTGCCTACCTTTACTACCTCTAGTGTTGATGCTGCTCCTGTCTGCCACTGCCTTCATAACCTGTTCTCTTGAAAATCATGTTTGGCTCTAAAGTCTAGCTCTCACTGCACTCCTGAGTACACTAACTGCTTGGAATCCAGCTAACCCTAGATTAAAATGGCCAGAGAGAAAAATGGGAGAATACAGAGATACAGAACTCCTCTACTGTTCTCTTATCACTTCTTAATCATGAGTTTTACCATTAGCCCAGCCAGGAAATCCCTCTGGAATGTAGCCTTTCTGAAACAGAAACATGACTTTATCAGCAGTAACTCCAAATGCAAATCCCAATGACCATCGGTTGCTGAATAAGCCGCCGGAATCAATCGGGCTGTAAAATAATGAAAGAATTTTTAAGACTCTGAAGGTCTTTCCATACTACAAAGTCATAATGTTCTCCAGCCAACCTTGAATTAGCAGAAAATTATACTGGCATGAAATTGCCAATCCTTTATCTTAGCTCCGTTGTTTCTGTCCCCAGTTATTGCTTTCCCTCCAAGTTAAAGGAAGACAAAGTTGAACAGCTTCTATGTAACTTGAGGCTCTCCTTGAATGGTGTCAGAATAAGGAACAAAAGTGTACTTAAACATTGGTACAGCAATAAAAGAAGTGGAGCCTATCTTACTCATGAACTGGAATGAGTGAAGGCAACATTACAGGGACATTGTAGAAAAAAACTGTCTCTGTGGCTTATCTGAGCTGTAGGTGGGTGCAAGCAATGTGTACACTGTGGCCCTTCAGGTGTGGTAGATACAGTTCCAGTCACGGCTTCCCATCCGGCTAGGGCTGATGTGAGTCAGACGTCCACAACTAGAGGCCACAATTGCCTTAGAAAGTGTTTTCCCTTTACCTGCTTTGGAATGATCACAATTGTTTTTCATCACAAAATATAAGTATGCAGGAGCTATTTGATTTAATCATTTTATTCCTTATGTCAAAGGCCCAAAGGACCTCTTAGGAAACTGCAACTTGTGCTTCCAAAATGCTACAAGTCCCTAAATGCATATGTCACAGATTGCTACTCAGGACTGGCCAGCAAGCAAAGTATTGTCCAACTCACAGCAGTATCCCACAAAATCCTGCATATCTGGGACATTTTTCATCAAAACAGCATCTTTTTGTTCTCTTTTCAAGACAGGACAACAGCAAAATGATGATAACCTGCAAGAACAAAACAAGAACCATGATGATAATGAAGGCAAAATTAAATCTCCAGAAAACAATGCAGAAGGTATTAAGGTACCCAACAATTCAGAGCTGGATAGATGTTTCAAAACTAGGTCAGAATTCTAAGCAAGTATTAATCCTTCAAATTTCCTCCTAGATTTGCCCAGCAGAATAAGTTTTATCTTGCTCAGTTCCTCAGATGGATAGAGAATTAAGTGCTTTGATGAGTCAATTATCATTTCTCCCTTGCATCTACTATAGGGTGGGAGAACCCTGCTTTTCACATTTGTAAACACAACCACCTACGCGCATCTTTGTGATTTTGTTCTTGGGCCAGTGAAGCACATAGCTAAGTGCAAGTTTTGCCCTGTCCCAAATGGCAGCCATCCCCAACCCAATACTTACATATATATTAAAACAACAGCTCCCACCATCTACAGCTAGACCTTTTTTGCTGGAAATAATGGGAGTTGCCTCGGGTTATGCATCCAGAGTCTGTCAGCTTTGGAAATGCCACTAAATGGGCTTCCTCCAATGAGTCCAAGGGTGCACTCATTAATGAGGAGGTTCCAAGTAGTCAGTGGTTGTCAGATTATTGGTCTACTTACTGATGGAATAAGCGAAAAATGTAGAAAAGATTCTGCTTCAACTGAACTTTCACAAGTCATATTCCTGAAGAAATTGTCCCTGTTAATGAAACATGATGAGAAATACAAGATTTTTATGTGTATATTTTATTGTTAAAACTACAAACTGCCATTCATCCATGAAAGATCCCAGGTTTTAATTTACATTTTATTTTAATTTAATTTGTAATTTATTTACATGAAGCAGATATATAGTAACAATAACATTAAAGGACAAAAGGGCATGCGACTTCCATTAACTCGAGCTGAAATTGGTTTAATGTGACATGTCAAGGGTCACATTCCCAAAAAAATAGAGCCAGGGCCTACTCAAGGGATTTGAAGAGATTAAATGGGCCCCTGAAGTACCCAAACAGCTTAAAGCATCAGCTTAGTTCCTAAACCCTCCCTAGCAAAATGCAAAAAAGGGAATGGGTTCTACTATAATTTTCATGTGATGGAAAACCAAAATGTGGTAATGCCGTTGGAAAGAGCTAAAAAAAAAAAAAAAAAGGAAAAATAGTTGGTTTCTCATATTGTGGCAAGTCTTAGGTTGATTTTACAATGATTTGTTGAAAAGCCACATGTAACACTAAGCCATAAACCACAATTTCCAAACACTATGGTTGGGTTCACATTTCATCACATTTCATAATGTGTCTATAAACCCAGACACTGTTTATGAAGCAAACACCAATTATCTTTGTTCTGCATATTTTTTGGATGTATTCCTTTATTTTCAGGTCGGTACTGTCTAGATCCTATCTAGATTTTTGGAACACTGTGGTGAGTACACTCACAAAATATCAAAATACATTAAAAGGTGGGCGACTACAGGCAAGTGATGCTCTTCTTGTATCACCAGTGCAAGGAAGAAATGTTAGGTCTACTGCAAGGAGGAAGGGAAGACACTTACATCCACTTCACCTCCAACATTTCATCTAATGAAGATGTAGGGTGCACTTCTTACTTCTCCCTCACCACACAGCTGTGTGGTTGGTTGAGAACGAGTGGATGTCTGCCACTACAGGCCCCAGAACTTTTCATGATGCAGACCATGGTCCAGGTGGATGCTGCTTCATGCAAGGTACTGGACAGGTTTCAGACAGCAGATAAAAGGCATGGCGATGAGTTGCATAGTTGAGAGCTGTTTCAGCAGCCACATTTCAACCATGGCTTCATGGGGACAGAGAGGGTAAAGACAACCCATCAGATCTAGTTTCTCAACATCAGCAACACTGCTTATAAGCTGTATGAGATTATTCAAGAGGGTCTTGGCTGGAGGGGCCCAGCAGCAGAATCATATGATACCAAGGTTACCCTCAGTGCTTTTACAGGCAAATGTTCTATGATCACTGGCTATCTTCACTGAAGTGTAAAGGGGAGGCAGACACTAAACCAGTGTCAGGTTGAACTCCACTTATCCTAACACCAATAATAACCCCACTTACCCTAACTTCAGGATGTCCGCTCTCAGTGGAACTTCACCTACCAATAGCTGCTTAGACAGCAATTTGCTGTGCGCAATAAGGCACTTTACTGTGTGTCTCCCTGGGAGTGAAGACTCCTGGTTGAGGCAATTCCTAAACTTGAGCTGTTCTTTTTTGCAATAAAAGAAGTGGGGAGACAGTTATGCTGAGCCAATGTCTGTACTTCTTTTCTTTAAAAACTCCTTCTGCTAACTTCAGGAGACGGTGAACACTCCTCCCACAGTAGCAAGAGCAAACAGGGACCCAGTTCTGGCATGAGATTCTCCTTGGCAAGCCCAAGCACAAAATCCTCAACTTGAGGCAACATACTTGGTGCATTGCCAGGGAGAAGAGGCATGTTGTCTATAAGCTCAGACAGCAGTGCAGAATGCTTTTTCTGAGCTATCTGAATGAGCCAAAGGAAAGTGAGGGGATGGGCCCACTCCACTTTTGGGGAACAAATGCCAAGCCCTGAACAGACATGGCGATGGGTGCCCAGCAGTTCATCCTTGACTACCAACCAAGAAATATGCGATTCTTCTCTAAGGTGGATAACACAGTAATACCTCATTCCTCTACTAATTCAACGTTCAGGTGTAATCAATCTCTTCTGTGAGATGAACCTCCCCTGAGATGCAGTAGAAATCATCCACCACCCCTCTCATGGCTTCCCAACCTCCTTCAACCCCATTGCTCTGGCCCACCTACTTTCATATATAGCCAGTTTTGATGCTGCTGGAGTGCACTGACTCCGAGGTCAAAGCACTCACTGCACATATCCATATAACATGGAAGGATGTTCTAGCTAGCAATAAACCTAACAGGAGAAAAAGGGTTACTCCCCACTCAACATACCATTGCCTGATTGTTTGGAAGGTAAGCTGTACTTATTATGGGTGGGTTAATATATGTAGCCTTCAAAATAAAACCAGGGGGAATGCTGGAAGTAAAATCAAAGGTGTGTATTTGTATATCTACATGGACTACTGTCCTTAAGTTCACCCAGGTAATGTAAACACAAAAAATACTACAATGTTTGGGTGGTCTGTTGAGCTTTAGTGTACATGTTCTAACTCTGTGTACTTGGTTCCATTAGATTTTTTCCCCCTTTTTTCTTTTTTTTTCCTTTTGTCTGCACTCAGTCATTGCTGACCCTGCAGTGACTGCTTAGACAAGTCCTTGCAGTTTTCAAGGCAATTGTTTTTCGGAAGTGGTTTGCCAGAGCCTCCTTCCTAGAGCAGAGCCCAGCTGGCATGCACAGGAGGCGGGGTTTCCGTTGCTTCGTGCCCTTTTCGGGCATGCGCGGTTTTTCGCGCTTACCGGCAACTGCTCCCAACTCCTGTTTTGCAAGGTGCCGCCAGCATTTTTCCTCCCACCAGAGTGAGAGTCCCCATTTATCTACTGACGTGAGTTTTCGACCTGTTGGGTTGACAGGAACTGGGGAGAAAACAGGAGCTCACCCTGTTTAACGCGAAGGCTGGCCTCGACCCGCTGAAGCGTCAGCCATTTCTGGCTGGGAACTTTCAGCGTCACTTGATACATTATATGTTTTCAATACAATGATATTTATACAGTATTAAAATTATTGACATTCTGTTGTTTACATAACTTAGAGTATTGGAAATAAATAAATATTCTGTCAGTATTAATTACAATTTAGGAAGTCAATATTACAAACATAAAATCATTTGACTTTTTCATCCAAAGTTGAGTATAACGTTAAAAAAAAGAAACTGCTGCAGATTGCGTCAAAATATTTGTTGTACAATAAAGGTTTTGGTCTTGATTACTTAGTGTTGAAGTCTTCATTGTATAGTTACTTAATATAGTTACTATATATAACCTTGTATTCAGTCCTTAGAGATTGCAACCTGTTAACAAATTCCATTTCAGCCTCACAGTATGCACAATGTGCTATTTGATCCACTCTTCAGAACACTAGAGCTTGTTCAACAAAGGATGGTTAAAACAAATAGCTTAGCTAGTATAAATCTGGCCAGTACGTTGGCAAAAGGATATAATCTATATATGTTCCTTGTGTAGAAATCGTATTTTAGATAAATAGATAATTTGGGGACATCTTATACCAACAACCTGGTGACAAAAATAGGTAGTAGAGGTCCCCTTCAAATGTTGGGGTCAGAAATGTTTTATCCTTAATTTCTGTCTATGCACCTGTTGAATAATAAGGAACCAACCAGTGGCTTACTTAAATTGCCCTCATTATTTAATCAAATTTTCTAGGCTTTGTTTTGGAGAAACGCACACTGGGGCAACATTAACTCTCCCTTAAAAAAAAAAAATTGGGTCATCTCCTTATTTCCTGTTGCAGTGAGCTGAGATTCTAAATTCCATTGCTCAAGTGAAACTAGCCACCATGGGTCAGCAGCTGTGTAAACTCAGAAAATTGTATTTTCTTCATGAAAACATGGCTTAGTGTGATGAATGAACCAGCTCACGACTATGAGGCAATGTTGCGGAATAATTTATAAATATGTGTTCTATAGACTGTCCAGAGTCATCCTGTCTCTTTAGGGCTTAATTGTTCTTTGAAAAGAACAGCACCATTTTTAAAATATGGTGCAATTTATCTTATACACCAACAATTAAAAGAAAGTCAGTTACCATTTTTCTGCAAGATCACCTCATTAGTTCTAGGACAAAGCTAGGTGTCTCAGGTTACATTGCAACTGGCTGGGATGACATAACATACTAAACCATATACCACACTTTATAAATTTCAATTATTGGGTCCCCATGACATGGCTAAGCCAAAATCAAACACATAGCATCACATTACAGATTAGTTGCATTTCAACAAGGCAGAAGGCCTGCTGACAAAGGCTTTTCCAGAAAAGTTAACTTACCGATTCTGGGCCTTCAATGTTTGTGTGATTCTTGGATTTCAGAAATCAGGAAATCATACATATTTCACAACATAATTTTCCTGGTTTTCAATATGAGTTTGATGTCAAGCCCCCCCTACTATCCTTAAATTATTCTTGCTTTCTCTATCTGTATAAATTGTTTTTCAAGTTCTTTCTTCTAAAAAGCAGTCTTTTGTAAATCTGTTTTAGATTTTTAAACAACTTGAGGGTGCCCTTGGATAGTGTTTGGAGCCAGATTAAGAAGGGAAACACTATTTTAATACTGGTATAGCTAAGGACAATTTAAGCCTGCCTCTTCATAGGCTAGGAATGAAATTAAGGCAGTTAAGGGGCACAGCAGAAAAAAAAAGTGCTCCAGAGGATGTTCGTGCCTTGGTTGGTGCAAGTGGCTAAAGACCCAAGCACTAGGGCAGTGCTTCCCAAACTTTCCTTCATTACTCAAAACCGCTTATCAGAAAGTCCTTTTTACCCAATGTAGGTAAAACACTTTAAGTCAATTTAAATGTCCCTGTTGTGATTGGGTAATGGATTCATGTGTCGTTACTCAAAACCCCCCCACTTTTACCCAATTTTGGGTAATTTACCCAAGGTCTGGGAATCACTGCACTAGGGTTTTCAAGGGCTTCACATTTCACACCAGAGAGCTCTGCATCTTGACAGCGGGGAAAACCCCCAAGTCTCTTCTGACATGCCATTGGGGGGGGGGGGGCCCTTCCTGCTCCCATATCGCCTCTCCCTCCATCTTTCCTAAAAGCCTGTTTCCTCCATTAGGGAGAAACCTAGGAAAGAATTAAAACGCTCTTCCCTCTCCTAAATTGCTTTGGCTAGACACCCGCTGCGCGACTATCAAGTCGAGACAGAGAGAACCAACAGGAGATGGTCCCCGACGGCCCCTTCCCCCCACCCCCCATCCGCTTCCATTTCCTAATCGCGCGCTTTCGTAGAGGTTTGGGTAGCGGCTCTATTTCCCCCCCACACTCCGCTTTTCTTCCCCCCTCTGACTGGGCGGGGAGGGCCTGGGATGAGGCGTTTCCTGCTCCTGCTGCCCAAAGGGGCCTCGAAGCGCTGCTCCCCAGCCCCGACGGCAGAGCTCCCAGCCCTGGCTCTCCGCGCCGCGCGAACTCAACCCAATAAAAAGAAGGGAACCGGGGAGGGCCGGTAGCAACTCGTAGCGCGGTCTTTCGCCCCCGCCTTTTCCACTAATGGAAAACTGACCCAACTTTTCCTGTTTTTAGCCAGACCTTACGCCGTGCAAAACCGCATCGGTAGCAATTCCCAACTTACGAGTATTCATCGTCTGCCATGGTCCTGCTTTGGCAGCGGAGGCTGGACGAGAAGATGGTAAGCTATAAGCGGAGAAGCGGACCGCTTTTCTAAACTTGGGTTACGTGGCGCACCCTCGCCGCCAAAGCTAGCGCGACCTCCACCCAGCCTCCTTCAGCTCGTGTGTCCGAATCGTCGGTCTCGGGCAGCGCTCCAGGCAGCAGAAAGAAGTCAGGAGGGCGGACACCGGCATCTCTTAGCGAGGGTGATTTCCTCTTCCCTCCGCCCGCTGTGATCACGACGCGAGTTTGTCCTCGAGGGAGATCGGGGAAGCGTCTGGTTGGTTCTCCACATGCACAGAGACGCCGCACCACCTTTCTTATCCTGCAGATAAGCCGTCCTCAGCATGGGGACTACAGCTGTGTCCGGCGACAACACCCATCATCCCCAGCCATGTATAAATCGTTGTGGACGGTCTGTCCAGAGGATGGTCATTTTTATTCAGCGGGTCTAAAATCAAAACACACAGTCTCATTCAAGCATGCTAAAATAATAGTTGCAAAATGACAACAACAAAATCAAGTCAGAAATGTGTTTCTGTTGGAAGGAGGAGGGCTGGGCTCTAAGCAGAAATTGTAACCATCTTGACAGCAAGATACCTTTTCCACATTATTGGGGAGGGGTGTTGCACATGTTTCTGATTTCGCTGCAGCACATGTGATATTAAGGTTCCACAATTTTTTTGCTATTTCTTCCCAGTGCAGGGCAGAGTAACACAGCCAAAAGAAGTTTTGCTCACTTTGCTCAAGAGAACATCACTATGGTTCTATTATTTCTCACAGCTAATCTAGCAAGGGCAGAGTCTACATGGAGTAGCCTCATCTTTAAACACCAGTATGCATGTCGAGGGAATCTTGACTGAACCAGGTTTCCCAGACAAACATAAAACCAAAACTAATATTGAAAGGTGTACATGCACCCAGAGTTACTGTTCTAATTTCCCATGTGTTGTGGAAATGTACTACATCTTTTTTGCAACAAACATTTATTATTATTATTGCAACCTTTCCAATTGACAAATGATCCTGAGCAGCTCACATACCTCTTTCAGTAGTCAGGCCAAAAAGACACACAATCAAAGCAACAACAACTGCAGTAATAATCCAACTAAAAGAAATAAAGAAAAGCTAGGATTGAAAAAGCAGCAAACATTCTCCTGTGGGGGAACCATCTCATCTGTCAGATTCCACAGGCTAAGAGCCAAATCTTAATGGCTTTGCAGAACACCAGAAATGCAGGGGCCTGTCTGATCTCTGTGGAGATATTATTCCAGAGAAAGAGAGTAGCAACTTAGAAGCCCTGCCCCTGAGGTTCCTGTAGATGACACTCCATAAGGGTAGGGACTTTGAGAGAACCCAGCTTCTTGGATGTTACTGGATGGGCAGAGGCCACTAGGAGAAGGCAATCCTGAAGATACCAAGATCCTGAGCCATAAAGGGCTTTAAAGATAATACCTTGAAATGCACTGGGAACAACAGATAACCAATGCAGTTCTCAAAATAGAAGTGCCACATAGGTAAATGAACTAGTACCCAGTGACTACCTGAGTCACTGAATTTTGGACCAATTGTAGCTTCTGAATGTTCAAGGGCAACCCCATGTAGAGGGTATTGCAATAGTCAAAACAAGAGTTGACCAAGGAATAAGTGACTATAAGCAGGGCATCTTGATACAAGAAAGGCCATAAGTAGTGCATAAGATACAATTATGTAAAGGCCCTTCTAACTACAGTTTCCACCTGCTCCTTGAGGACCCCCAGATTACAGACGAGTTCTGCACGAGGAAGAGGAATCTCATCCAGGATCAAAGATGGAATATTACTAGAGTCAAAAGGCTTCTGAACCTAAATTCACTCCATTTTGCTGAGATTATGTGGAAGCTGCTCCCCTTTGCATGTATACTGATGCTCCAAGATGCAAGTGCATATAAGCTATGTGTTCGCTGTGGAAACAGTGGGTGAATGTTCAGTTCTTTTTGCAGCAGTTGCTCTATGTGGTGCTACCTTTAAAGAAGCATAAGGAAGAGTCACCACTCCATCTCATGGGGATGGTGGTTGGATTCACATGATATATAAAGCCAAATGATGACTTGGCATCATGTATGAACCCACCTTTGAAAATCTCCACCTGCATGACAAGAATAGAACATTTAATTTTTTCCTAGTCTGTCCTGAAGCTGGATCATCATACTATGATAATTTCTAAAGCTGTGCGCGTGACATATTGGTTGCTTATTGCAAGAAAAGCATTTCTTTCTTGCATTTCCTTTGAGAGAGCTAGAAACTTCTAATACTTGCCTCTCACTGGAGGACAAACATGTTCTAGCATCCTAGCATAAGGCTGTTTGGGAACAATGTATTCAGAAATTACTTACAAGATTGTCTGATACTATAACAGAGGATATAGAAGAACAACAGATCTTATTGGACAAAACAGAGATTGAGATTGATTTGAATGTGGATTTGGAGTTCTAAAAAATGCTGGATTATAAAAGTGACATGGAAAAAGATGCTGTGGATGTGAAAATGGATTTAAAAATCCATTTTTGTGATATGAAAAAAGATGCCAAAATGGATTTACAAATGAAACCAGCTGATGTTACAATAATTAAAGGGGACATACAAATAATACATCGGAAGAATGACTTGGAAAGCCTTCTTATTTTGGATTTAGAAAAGGAATGTGTTAAACCAATGAAGCTGTTTCTGAGAGGAGACAAAAGAGAAATAACTAAAGTTGTTCCTGAAAGGAGGCAAAGAGAAAATGATAAAAATCCCACTTGTGGGACACTATTGGACAGGATTAAAGATCCAGCTTTTTAAAAGTAAACAGAAGGTTTAAAAAGTGAACTCAAATATATGTTGTGGTTTCTGATAGTTATCAGTGGGATTTCTTTTTGACCAGGACTGAATGATGAGGTTTAAGGATCTGTTTATTAGTGGGGAGAGATTTCTTTTGCTTTACTTCTTAGAGAAAGTGATAAATTGGATTTTAAAATGGATTTTTTTGATTAAGGGAAAAATGCATATGTTTTTATTCTTGGTAGCTCTTAATAGAATTTTGCTGATTAGGACTGAATGATGAGTTTTTATACTTTGATTATTGATAAGGGATGAGTTATGGGAAGATGAGATTTTTTTCTTTCTTTTTATTGAAATACTAGAGAAGGTGTTAAGTTACTGAATTGTTTATGCTTGTCCAGAGGGAGGGGGAAGTCATCTTTTATTTATTCTCTTTTTCTTTTCTTTTTTCTATCTCTTTGCACTTCTTTTTCTTTACTTTTTATATTTTCTTTAGTTTGTATAAGTCTTATCTTTGTATGTGTAAACTCTAATAAAATTATAAATAAATAAAATACAAAAACAAAGTTCCATGACTATTTTCCAACTGTTTGTCCATCAGTCTCAAGAGGAAGACTTCTGAGATAGTCTGATACATTTCAATGACCATTATTTTAAGCCAGTATAGTAGAATTCTGAAGGCTCAAGGACGGGTGGACAGCATGTTAACTTGGTAAAGAGGATGAGCCCATTTAACAATAAATACATAGAAAATAGTGGAGGCAGATACATGCCTTTGGAAGACAGTTCAGTAGTTACCCCATACTGGAGTTCCCAAATGTGCAACTACACCCCAAGAATGCTTTCTGACTTTTCATCAACTCAAGCATCTCTATCCTTTTCCCTGAATTCAAGCTGAATCCTTTCAACTTCATGCTTTCCCCATGGGCTGCAGAAAATAGATCTCAAACCTTATCCTTGCAAAAAGATCCAAGAGGGAGCCCAAAAGTGATTTCATCAGGAATCTTAGAAAGAAATGATACTCCTTGAGAGACAGCAAAAATGCAAAAGAAGCCAGGACTCCTGCACCCATAATATCTAGGTAGAAGAAAGAGATTGTCAAGCAAGTTCTAAGAAAGGGAATTAGTCTCATCTATGCAGGAGACATTTTGCTTATAGGAAGGAAGGAGGGATAGAGGAAATGTTTGAAATCTACTTTAGTTAGTCAGGTTTATATGGCCACCCATGTTAACCAAATAACTCTGGGCAGTTCACAAGGATATAAATAAGCTCAAGGAATCTAGTGAGAGGGAGAGAAAAAAAATTAAAAACATAGTCAAGGCACCCTTCCAATTTATATAACAGCATAAAAACAACAAGAACCAATCTTGGGTAGTGGTTAAGGCATCGGGCTGGAAACTGGGAGACCCTGAGTTCTACTCCTGCCTTAGGCACAAAGCCAGTTGGGTGGCCTTGGGCCAGCCACTCTCTCTCAGCCCTAGGAAGCAGGCAAGGGCAAACCACCTCCAAAAATCTTGTGAAGAGACCTGTAGGGAGTGGTCCATGGAATTGCCAGGAGTCAACACTGACTCAAAGGCACAATAAATAAAAATAAAAACAACACACACATACTAGGCTCTACTAACAACCTGGCCCCAGCACCTGAGGGCATTCATAGTACATGTTCCTTTGCAAAATATTCAAAACAACTTGATATTCAATCAAGTGTTTTCCTAAATATCTTATTTCTACTTACCCACAGCAGAATCAGTGGAGAAAAGCAATTTTAAGGCCAGAAAGGTTATGAATGCTGGCAAACTTCATACTGGATTAGACTCCACTGAACCCTTGTTACCATGCAGTCTGGAATCAGCAGAATAGATTCTTTTGCCCCAAATAAGAACAAAAACACAGCACATCTTGTGCAAAAGATGTATAAACAAAAAAGAGAAAAAGGACAGGCAAAAAAAATCTCACCAAGAACATTTCTTGGGTGTGGTGCTGGATTAACTCAGGTCATTTATCCAAAGAGATGGAGAGTGGGAACTGAAACAATCAGTGGCTCAAGCTATTTTAATTGCACTTTATAGGTACTGAATTTCAGCTCTAAGTTCCCTAGAGTGTTTATTTCAAACAAAAAGACAACATAGATATCAAACATCTGTGCTTGCAACAGGGCAGTGAGGAATCTAATCAGATTTTACTTATTTATTTATTCAATTTATATAGCCACCCATCTCGCATAAGTGACACTGGGCAGCTCACAAAAATTAAAAACCATCTAGCAGAGAGAGAAACAGCAAAATGCTGGAGACATGGCCACGGGGAAGTTGTCCTATCTACGCTCAACTGAAATGCATAATCCTGTATGATTCCCATCTGTAA